TACTGCAGTGCTTGTGTTCAAGTAACCCTTATTTTACTTATATTATTACTGTTCTATTTTATTACTGTTGTTGTTAATTTCTCACTGTGCCTAATTTACAAATTAAAATTTATCAAACGCACGTGTGTATAGGAAACAGCATAGTATATATAGAGTTCAGTACTCTCCATGGTTTCAGGCATCCACTGGGGGTCTTGGAATACATCTCCTGCAGATAAGGAGGGACTATTGTAGGGCCTGGCACTTAGGATGCTCAATAGATAGAATTATACAAATGACTGATTTCCTGTTTTTCTCTGACCTCCATTCCCTCACTGCCTGCTTGCCCACACAGAAGTGACAGTTTAGTTACCCTGTTTCTGAGACAGGCCTTCTGAAGCCCAGAGAGAACAAGACTGACCCAATATCACACAGAAAGAGTAATAGTATTGGAATTGATAGTTTTGGTGTGCCTTGTGCAGTGTTCTCATCTACTTCATTTCTCACTTAGGAAAAAATAAGCATAGTTTGAGGAAACTTGGAGAAGAAATATAACTAGGGCCAGGCAGGATGTAAATAATATTAAGAACAATTACCACTTAATATGTGCCAGGCACAAGTTAAGTACATTCTCTGTGTGTGTTTTTTTAATTTAAACCTCACAGCAACCATAGGAAGTGATGACTATCACCATCATCATCTGCATCTGCATCTGTATCATACAGAAGAGGAAACTGAGGCTAGAATGACTTCAAGCTGGGATTTGAACCCAGGCAGTGTGACACCAGAGATGAAGTGTGCATCCACTAGACTATATCACTGTCCACAAGGAAAGCAGGAGAAGAGGGAAGGCAGGAATAAAGGACAAAGGAACAATACAAGTTCTTTTTGAAGTAAATAGATTGAGGCAGTGTAGTGTTGTGGTCAGGTCCTAACTTAAGATCAGGGTTGAAGTCCTACCTCTGCTACTAGTTATTGAATGTCTTTGAGACTTAGCTTCCTTGTCTGTAAAGTGAGAATAAAACAATTTCTTAGAGTTGTGATAAGGCTTAGAAAGCAAAGCACCCAGAGCAATGCTTAACTAAAGGTACATGCTCAGTAAACAGGAGCAAGTGTTGTCTGTTAATTGTGCTCCCCACAGGATATGCCTAGTAGCACAGCTCCCTTTGCCCCTTCTCAGGGAAAATAAATTAGGAAGGAAAAAACATTTATAAGTTGTCAGGAAAATGAAGAATTGGATAAAGCAACAATTCCAGACATCTTTTCCCCACTGCTAGGTATGTGTGTGGGGTAAGGGGTGTGAGGTGGTGAGGCTAATAAGCATCACTCTCTCCTTCCTTAAGGAACAGATCCCAGTAGGTTACCTCCGCCCTCTGGTCACTTATAGCCTGAGTCAGAACTGTCCATTTTCTTAAAGAATTTTGTTTTCCATGTCCTTTTCACATAAGTTGTTTTATTTTTCACATTAGTCCTATGAGGCATTGAGAAAGGAGGACAGAATCTCAGATTTTTTTTTTTCCATGTGCCAGACAAAATGCTGGGCACTTTCCATCAGTGATTTCATTTTATCCTCACAATACCACTGTGATGGGGTGCAGTTATCTGCACTTTACAAGTGACATCCTGAATCCAGCAAGGGTTGCTTCTTTTCTGTACATTTTTCTCTCATTCCATATATTCAGCACAACACTGGTCTGAGGTTGTGTCCTGCTGAGGATTTTCTATAAATCAAAGTATTTTGAAATCTCACTATCCCAAACATGTGGTTCTTTGCATAATCCCAAGGCCTATAAATTGAGAGTAATTTGCCCCCAGTGGATCTGAGATCAAATTATTACTCTGCTCCTTATTAATATGATTCTGTGCTAGTCATTTAAATTCACCTCTAAAATAGTAAAAATGGCACCTTCTACTCCATAAGGTTGTGAAAATTAAATAACTTCCATGGAATTGCTCTGTCATTGGGATACTTCATGGAAAAATTATTTAAAACACAATCATCAGTCAGCTTAATCTCAAAAGAGCCCCAGAAGGGGAATGAAATGTTTGTGTCTCTGACCTTTGATCAGGTACGCCTCCAGATCTGCAACTGTGGTTGGTGACTTTGGGAATGTTGAGGGACAAAGAATACAGAAGGTCCCTAATGTGACTATTGAGGAAATGTTCTTTCACCATTATCAATGCATGATTCATATCATAATAGAGACATCTAAATCCTTTACATCACATACTTCTCAAAGCAGTTCTATCTATAGTATTTCATTTGACATTCACTAAAACCCCCAAGAACTAGTCTTTACCAATTAAAATTGTTCCACTTGCTTTGTTACTATTTTCCTCTTCCTGGAAGTGAACCACCTGAATTTGAAAAATCCAGCCCATCCATTACAAAGGCCACCTTGGGCCAGAACCCAGCCCTAACCCCCCAGATCAGCCTTCTCTCTGCTTTCTGAATCCACACAGCACTATATACCTTATATTGCCTTGTATTCTAGTCATTTATATACTTGTCTTAAACTTTGTCCTTCCTCCCCGACTTTCTCACTAAATCCACAAGCTCTTTGAAGGGAAGAATAAAGAAAGAAGAAATGGTTTATTTATTGTTTTATGTCGGTCCCATTTTAAAAGTTTTTATTAGACAAAATTTCATGTGTGTGTATTTATATATAGAGAGTAGAAGCCCATTGGCCTTCAACAACTAGTAACACATGAACAATATTGTCACATCTATACCTCCACTCTTGCCTTCTCACTCTGGATTATTTTAAAGCAAATCCCAGATAGCCTGCTATTTAATCCATAAATACTCCAATACGGAAGTCATCTTTTGCAGTTCTGTGTCCTCTAGAGTTTGAAGACTATTTGCGTCTGTGTTCCCTACTACTGGGAGCAAACACGTCAGAAGATTTCTGAGCACCTAATATGTGCCAGACCTTATGCTTGGCTCTGGAGGCTCTGACTGAGCTAGGGAGACACACTAGAACCAGTGTTTCAAACCAGGAATTTTTATGGTACCAGAGAGTGAGCAAGGGCTGCACATGGGAGCCCAGCACCAGGACCTCAAATTACACTAACCGAACTAGGTTGAATCTGTTTTCTCTAATGGAGACCCTGAGTTCGAACTCGGTGCAAGACACAGATTCTCCAGCAGGAGGCGCTGCAAAGGCAAAACGGAGGATGCTTGCTCTCTTGTTTCTCCTGTAGGAGCCGGAGAAGGCGACCAGAGCCCGCCGCGCGTGTGCAAACTGCGAGCAACAGCGCAGTTTAGTGAGCCAGAAGGACACTGAGCGCCAGGGCCTAAGAAGGGCCCCATGGTTCAGGTGCTGGGCAGGGGCGCTGAGGCACAAGGGGCAGGCCTGGCACCTGCTCAGTTCTTCTGGACGCTGCCCGTTGCCCTGACTGCCGCCAGTTCCCGCCCCAAATGCCGCTCGTCCTGATAGAATATCTCTGAGCAGGGCACAGGACAGAGCGAGGAAACACCTGTTTCCAACAAGAAAAGGGGTGGGGGAAAGCCCCTACCAGGCTTCCAATGGCCCCTCATTGAGTCTGCTCTCCAGAGCCTTGTAAATGCGCGCCCAGAAAGCCAGTGGAGATCATTTT